AACAGAGGATAAGACACACCGGGGCACAGGGGTGAGCCGAGCAGCTCCGGGGGATCCAGCCCCCTGGGAGGAGACTGCGGCTCTGTTCGCCAAGTGCTGAAAAGGGAAGTGCAGAGGTGTTCTGGTCACACAGAGAAGGGGCACCAGACCCGAAGGAAGTAATTGCTGTTCTAAGACGTTTAAGAATTAGTAGACCTTACATTAATGAAAGAGAGTCGGTAAGAGAACAGTAGAGGAAACAGCATATGCAAAGGCCCTGAGGCAAGATAATTGGTCTGATTTAAGAAACTGATTAAAAGATTTAATGAGGCTGGAGCACAGCGTAAGGAGGGAAAAGAGGCAAAAGGAAGTCTGAGCCAGGGCCAGCTTCTGAGGAGATCAGATTTTATAGTATGGGCCGTAGAGATCCAATGAAGGGTCCTTGGCAAGGTCTGGACTCTCAAAATACACTTTTGGAATGAACCCCTTGGTGTGGTGCCTAGTCTGAAGGGGACAAGAGTGGTTTGGAGGAGACCAGTGAGAAGTCTGTTATAGGTTTGGGGTAAACAGTAATGATGATAATAATAATAAAATAATAATAATAATATAGAAAGTGCCTACACAGTGCTGACCACCTGTCAGGCACTGTTTTAAGGATTTTACATTATTGACTCATTTAATCCTCACAATAACTCTATGAGATAGGTACTATTATTACTTTTCCCATTTCACAGAGAATTAAGGCTCAGAAAGATTAAGTATCTTGCCCAAGGTCACACTCAAGGAAGAGGCAAAGTCATGATTTGCATCCAGAGTCCACACACTTATCCACTACATTCTAATTTGTAGGGGCAGATCTTAGTAGTATTAGGAGTTGGTTTCAGAATTTGGTGCCTGGGGAGAGGGAAGAAGAGAGGGATGCATATGACAGCCCAGCCCTTGCCACTCCACAGGAGAGTGGGAACAATGAGGTCATCTTCATGGCCTTGGACTTGGCCAGTCTGGCCTCCGTGAGGGCCTTTGCCACTGCCTTCCTGAGCTCTGAGCCACGGCTGGACATCCTCATCCACAATGCCGGTGAGGGGCAGCAGGACCTACATGGGGGCGGCGGGTGGCCAGGGGCAGCTGACCCCTCCAGCCAGGCTTTGCGAGGGGGCAGTGAACATGTGAGAAGGATGTCCCCTACCACCATTTCACATGGGGGACCCCGAGGTCTCAGGGAATCCCTCTGGAGTAGTTGCTCACACCTAGCCCTTGCCCCAGGGATCAGTTCCTGTGGCCGGAGCCGCGAGCCCTTTAACCTGCTGCTACGAGTGAACCACATCAGCCCCTTCCTGCTGACACACCTCCTGCTGCCCCGGCTGAAGTCATGCGCCCCTAGCCGCGTAGTGGTGGTATCCTCCGCCGCCCACCGGCGAGGCCGCCTGGACTTCACACGCCTGGACCGCCCAGTGGTGGGTTGGCGGCAGGAACTACGGGCATATGCTGACAGTAAGCTGGCCAACGTGTTGTATGCCCGGGAGCTCGCCACTCAGCTTGAGGGCACTGGCATCACCTGCTATGCAGCCCACCCAGGTGAGACCTAGCTCTCTAGATGCTCTGCTTTGTCTTGATTCCCCCCTCCCATCCTCGCCCCATCCTGTGCTCCCCCAGCCTCTCACTGAGCCACAGAATTTCAGAGCAGGAAGGAATCCTGGTCCAAGGAGAGACCTGTTCCTTGCTAATCTTGGAGCCAGATCCTTGGCTGGGTTCTTTCTCTCACACCACAAGCTTGGATGCTGACTACTGGGTAGGTTATGGCAATGAATAAGGCCTAGGTTCTCACCCCAGAGAGCCATCCATGTGACTGAACTGACTATAATATGATAATAATGATGATGTTAGCTAATAATCATCCATTCAGGAAGCATTTACTGAGTACCTACTATTCTAAGCATTAATCTTGGTGCAAGGGATGTAGCAATGTACAAAACAAGGAACTTATCCTTGTAGAGTTTACAAGCTACTTTACAGAAGGAGGAAAAGGTAATAAATAAATATATACAATGACAGGTGGTGGTAAAGTGCTATGGGGAAAGATAAAACAGGGTAAGGGGAATAAGAAATGATGGGGGGTGCTATTTTATCTACGGCAGTCAGGGGAGACGTATCTAAAAAGATGACATATGAGTAGAGGCCTGAAGGAGATGAGAGAATGAACCATGAGTCTTTCTTGGGAGAAGAGTAAAAGAACAGGGCAAACAGCAAGTGCAAAGGCCCTGAGGCAAAAGTTCCTGATGTGCTTGAGAAAGAACAAGGAGCCTGGTGTGGCCAGAACAGAGTGAGAGGGGTAGAGTGGCAAGAGAAGAGGTGTAGAGATGGGTTGGGTCACCTAGGGCCTAAGGGTCCACTGTAAGCATTTTTGTCTTATAGTCTGAGTAACTGAAGTGATGAATAAGACCTATCCCTGCCTTTAGGTTACAGAATAATGAGATCTGCTCTACCCATATTACCATACTGCATTTTAGATAATTGCTGCCTAACTAAGGCTCATTATAACTATAATAGTGACAATAATAATTACAGCCAACCCTCATTACACTCCATATCACGAATGTCCGAAACAGTGGCTGGTCTACCATAGATGTTAATAAATGTTTGCTGGTTAAACAAAGGAACAGGACTTGAGCTAGTAGAAAAGATGGAGACAGAATTGTTCCAGGCTGGGGATGCAGCATGAGCAAAATCTGGAAGATGGGAATATATAAGGAGTTTGGATGGAGAAGAGGAGGCTTGCTGTTAGAAATGAGTGAGATCACCTTGTGGGGCTCTGAATGCCTGGTAAATACTACCCTGGACCTAGACTCTGTTCCCAACTCCCTTCTAGCCCTGTCCTTGCTGCTCTTACCCTGGGCCCTCACCCCTTCTCCCTACTCTTTCATTTCTTCCTGACCACAGGGCCAGTGAACTCGGAGCTGTTCCTGCGCCACATTCCTGGATGGCTACGCCCACTTTTGCGCCCACTGGCTTGGCTGGTGCTTCGGGCACCACGAGGGGGTGCCCAGACACCCCTGTACTGTGCTCTGCAGGAGGGCATTGAGCCTCTCAGTGGGAGATATTTTGCCAACTGCCACGTGGAGGAGGTGCCCCCAGCCGCCAGAGATGACCGGGCAGCCCACCGGCTATGGGAGGCCAGCAAAAGGCTGGCAGGGCTTGGGCATGGGGAGGATACTGAATCCGATGAAGATCCCCAGCCTGAGGACCCAGGGACCCCATCTTCTCTGAAGAATCCCCACCCTAAGGAACCCATGGCTTCTGAACCTTACCCCAGTCCCCGTGGTTCACCAGACTTGTCTAAGGTCACACGCCGAATTCCGGTCAAAGCAGAACCTAAGCCCCAGGCCTCCTAACCCCCAGGCTGGGAAGCTTTCCAGGGCACTTGGGGGCCCTTGAAAACCTTAGCTGTGTGCTAGGCCACGCACTGGGCATTGAGGAAGTTGCAATTTTTACCAACATGGTTACTTTCTGGGGCTTCAAGTTACGTCCTGGTGTCCTGGACAGCTCTTCCTGGTGGAAGGACATAAAGGATGATTATTTCTTATTATTACTGAGTGTGACAGTAACCCCAGACTGAGAGGTAGAGGGTAGTGTACTAGACACTGCTTCTCAGGAATTTGGATTTCCTATTTCCAGGCCCTCCCCTCAGGAATGCTGATCCGCCCTGGAAGAGAGCCTGGGAATTTGTTGATCTGATGCACTGCCAACATTGAGAATTACTCAACTGGGCCCTTTGCGACCATGTAGCTTGGTAGTTACATTATCCCCATTTTTCAGAGTCAGGATTAGGCAGCCAGGTAAGGGACTCACCCAAAGTCTCCTAGCTAGTGAGAGCGGCGAGCTGATATTGGAGCCCAGGTGGGCAGACTCTAGGGCCGACCGCTGGAAGGTGGGTGCTGGGAGGTGAGGCAAGGCAGGGCGGCTTTCATCCGGGCGCCCCGTGGGAGAAGGGGGACGCTTTCGCGGGCTGCCCGAGGGCTGGGCTCCACGACCCCGACCGGTGTAATAAAGCCTGCCGACTGCCTGGGCTCCTGCTACGGCTGCCTCTCTCCACACGCCGGCCCCGCCCTCCGCCGCCACACTTCCGGCGGGGCTGCCGCCGCGGAGGGGCGCGGGCGGGCTGC